GAGTGAGGTCCTCTACTTATGGGTGGTAGTCCCGCTAATCTCGCGACGGTTACACCCGGTAATCTCGGGACCGTCGGTTACACCCGGCGATCTCGGGACCGACGGTTACGCCCGATAATTACGCCGCAGACAGTTGCTCACATCGGCCCCTACYGAGCTCTCCGRTAGGTCGGACCTGGGCTGGGTTCACCTCGGCKCTCATGCTTAGCTTTCTTCGATGTTGGTGGCAGCCGTCTCGGCTATCCGAGCTGGGATGACTCATGAGCCATCTTGGAGCACCAATGGGGGTCCTCCACGTGTCCAGGGTATACCCTGCCCCAAACAAACTTGATTTCCAGACAGCTACACGGAATCTTAGAGAAAGATTGGATTTGTTATCTCAGGTAGGTTTGCTTTTCGTGAAAAAAATACCAATTAAAGTGGAGAGCTTCTTCAAACAACAAGGAGCTTGGTAAATTATTCAATCGAATGATATTTAACATGTTTCTCATATCTTCTCCAGAAATAAGTTGAGTACTTCTTTGCAAAATTGAGAAAAGAGAGTCGACATAGATCCCATTGGCTCAGAGCCATCAAGGATGAATCCACGATCATTCATTTGGTTCTCTTGTGGATAAAGGACTAATACAATAGAACTAAGACTACTTCCACGATAATTTTTATATACGACGAAGGTAAGGAGTAGTCATTTATACCGAAATGTTAGATATCCATAAATGAATTAAATTTACCAACCCATCAACTTAAACTTTTGGATCGAGGGGTGGTTTATTCATTTTTCACACTAAGAGATAGCACAAACCAAAAGGTGACTCTTGAAAATGTCTAGGAAGCAAGCACTACATTGGAACGAGAAATTCTTATTAAGGGTGTTACTTTTCTTAGCGCAGACTTGCCTAAACGAAACGGATAATTCCAGGTAATCCTCGTTTAAGCGTCCGAAAATTTTCCCCATTGATTGAAGTTTATTGAAAAACATCTGTAGTTTATGAGTTTTACCCATTGTATTTTTAGTGCTTTCATGATTCAAACTTCTTAACTAATGTAACCAATCTTTGAACAATAATTTGGAGAATGTACCTGAAAAGATAAGTTAATGAAATAAAGTGATAGGAAAGATATTTTATTTTCAAATATAATAAATACAGAGGTGAAAATTAATCATTTCAATCAATTAAGAAGGTTCTTAATGCTCAAATTAAAAGTACAATTAAATGTTCGAGAGAGTGTGTTGCTAATGATTAAAAAAAAATATTGAAGCTAAAAGCATTGACAAATCTACTATCAACTGCTAATATGAACATAGCTATGGACAAATACTGCTTCGCTTGAGGTCGGATGTTCAAATTCCCATACCCCAATTTAAGAAAAAAAAAGAAAAGAAGAATCTACTACCAACCCAACTGTTTTCATTAGAAACCCCTCCAAAGTTAAAACTGCTTCTACAAATGCTTCTACATTATACTCCTACATAAACATGTAACTTAAATCAGTTAAAAGCACTTTTAACAGCCAAAAGCACTGCCGAATATTATATAAAATGGCTCAACTATCATGCTACAGCCAAACAGAATCCTAAACTGGTGTTGTATGATAATTTCTGGTCCATACAAAACTATTGAAGAGCTCAGACTAGAGACTAGGATACATGAACATTCAGACTTGGTAAACTAAAGTTAGAAGTTTCCAATAAAGCCAAAGCTTAAGATCCCCCATGAATCATACAGATTGTACAAAGGAGAAAATTTGTTGAATAAGAACCATTTGTTAGCAGTTTCATATAACAGCAGATGAGCTTATGCAATAAGAAGATTGTTGGAAGACTCACTCAGGCTGAAGGCTCTGGATTCAAAACTGGAAGGATTCTTAGAGCAGACGAACCAAGGTGCATGCCCCGAATAATTCCGCCATATCCAACCTTCACTCTATGACACAGAAGCAATATAGAATCCCACAATGCCGTTCGTCCCTGAAAGTAAAGATCGAAATGGTTATTTTTATATCAATACTGTTTCAGAAACTTGTAGGAAAGATCAGTTTCGGACGGTAACATTATGTATTCCATGATACCGAACAGAGTTTAAGAATGATTTTCACAACAAATATCATGTTCAAGGGCTGCCAACCTGAAGGGAAAACTGAAGCTTCTTATCCCAGTACAAAGAAAATATTGGGGGGTTTTTCCTTCCAACGGCAAGTATGCAGGCTCCTGGGTGAAGAACAGAAGGGACGCCATATATAATCGCTACATACTTTTCGGGAAACCGTTCCTTTGGAGGAAGAAACCCTAAGAACAAAGGATTTTTACTGGACTGAGCTCCAGCATAGGTTGAAGGATCCAGATGTAGCATCCACTTTGGATGCTCTAGGAAAGCACAAGATAGATACAAGAGTAAGTGAGAATCAGTTGGAAGCTCGAGTGTCCACTTCTTATTCTTCTTATCATAAACCTCTCCAGTCCCAAGATACTCGTAATTCTTCAAGCAGGTCCCTTCAGAAAGCTCTGTAGAATTACAAAGGTAGCGTCAAAGGCCAGTTTAAATAATGTTTCCTAACATCTATTTTGCAAAATCATTAGATCAAGACGATGGGTAAACTGGAAAACGCAGTATACTGATCATCTACAACCTACGCCCACCTCTGATTCTTTGTACTGTATAATCTGCTCGAATACTGCTTTGAGGCAGCAAGCCTTTGACCCATTCACCCTTCATCAGAGAAAGGAGTTTCTGGTGTTCGGCAATGGCATTGACACACTCTTGCATGATTGGAACTAAGAGATTCTGCTGAGGGGACTGTTGTGCATTCGCCAGAGGCATCCTGGCTGCATTGAAGATGTGGTGATTGCAAGCAAAGCAAAGCAATTATTATTATTATTATTATTATTTTGATAGAAAACCAAACTTTCATCAGTGACAAATGAAAGAACAAGCAAAGAAATTATAACTAGAGAACCTCTAAGAAACGAAAATTATGGAAACTTCTAAAGAAAATAAAGGAGAACCTTACTTGTAGAGGCATCTATTGATTGCACGAGTGTTGCTCGTAACTGGTGAAGGAGCCCATCTTCATCAAGGGTCAATGTTGGTTGCCATTCATTAGTCCTGTCAACCGAAGACACGGTGGGAATGGATCCAGTGGAGTCGCCTACTGGACTTATAGTAATTGAGACACCTAGTTTAGCAGCCACTTCCTTTACCTTCAGAAAACCAAGAAATTAAGCAGGCTAGTAAGGTGCAAAGGATGTGTAACCTATCAATAATCATCATCATTAGATTTCAAGTTCAGCTCCTCGTGCAACTAAGCAAATATCATACTTTCAAACAAACTTATAAACTGATCAGTCAGAAATTCACATGCAATCTTAATAAAGAGACATAAAAGAAATAAGTTAGGAATAAATCTTATGCTTACAGCTATTGCTTCCACATACCTCCTATCTAAAGAATGCACTGAGGTTACTATAACAGAGCTTGAAAAACAAGAGATGCTAAAGCATAAAAATTCGGTGGTTTTCACTTGTGAAAGTGGTTCAAATCTGAGTCAATGAGAATTAATTACTAAAGCACAAAGTAGACCAAGCATACCTGAACATGACTTGTTTCAATCTTTTCTAGAAGAGGATTAAGCAGAATGGAAGAAAACCATTGCCTGAGACGATCACGCCATTCCTCGATTTGGGGATATACACCCAAATTCTTGAAAGCTTCAACCGTTTCCTCCATAGACATTGGGGAGGGAACATCACCCTCTACTTTCTTAGGAGGAGTGGTGAATTTCTGCGAACTTGGAGACATCCTTACAGGCCTCAAGGGAGTACTTCTGGTAGTTCCAGAGGTATTAGCTGAAGTAGCAACAGTACTGGGACTGGCTATACCAACACCGCTGGTGGTGGGGGGTGGAGTTGCCAATTTTCCTGCAGACTCAGTTAATTTTTCATCTACTTCAGTAAGGAACCGTTCAAATTCTTCTTCAGATGTAATTTCTTTCAGAGAAGATCCTTGCTTGCTTGACCATGGGGTGCAAACCATTGAATCAAGCCCTGATGAACTCTGGGCAGAAGGAGGCAGTGGTGAGGCCACTCCAGAGACAAGATATAAGGAAGATGCAGAACCCGGGGATTTCGAAGGTGTTGTGAAAGGCTGCATTTTACTTCCACTGGCGGAGTTCAATTTATCCATGTTTCTTTGAGATGAAAAACTAAAACTGCCAATTGATTGGTGAAGAGGAACAAGAACATCAGAAGAAGGCGATGCATATGGTTTAGATTTTGGAGGCTTTACGGCCTTTTCGGATACCGCATCATCAACCTTTGGTTTTAATCCCATAAGTCCTAGTTGACGCTTGGAAAGAGGCGTTCGATCCTTGATTCCTTTAGAGGCAGATGTAATAGGCACACTACCACTAAACCTTCCTCTAAACAAAGATATTGCTTTTAAGAAAGCTAATATTGTTCCCAAAAATACTAAGCCTACCAGAGTCTGAACAGCCTTAGCAAATAAGCCTGAAGCATAAAAAAGAAAGATTAGGAAAAAAAAAGAAATCAATACAGCCATAAGTGTCCATGGTGGTATAGCTCAAAGCAGACATAAACAAATGAGAATAATCTAGTAGCTTACAGGCTGCCTCTTCGGGGAAGTTTTTGAGCTTCAAATTGTCAATAATAACATTTTCCCTTCATTAATTCAGAAAAAAACAAATGTTTAGCTTCAGTTAACTGAAAACAGAATCCATTGCAGAAAAAAGTATCTAAAAACATCTTAAATTCTAATTTCTTGTTCACATTCAAAACAGCATCCCAATATCCAGCTGCTCTAAGAATTGAGACCAAATTAAGAACCAACGGTGCGCACCACAGATCACACAGACTCAAACAATAGCAAAAGAAAGCCATACACAGAAAACGAAGACCAAAAAGTTGACAAAATTCTAAACACATACAAGGAAGATGTAGGAAGACCGAACTGTACCAGGAAAGAATACGAAGGAAGGCGAATGCAGATGCAGAGGAGATGGAGAAGATGCAGAGGAAGGTGAACTTCGAAGGTTGGAGACTGTTGGCGGTGAGAGCGGCGGATAAGGCCGGGTTCTGGTACGCCGAGAACTTCAAGGGCTTCGAGCTCTCGGCTCTTCCGCCATTGGAAGCTGCTTCCATTCGTATTGGGTCCAAAATTTGCAATGCGATTTAGGGTTGGCAGCAGAAATACGGATTCGTTAAGAGTAATACTACAACATTGAGGAAGAACTCTGAAACTGTTCTTCTTTACAGAATCTTTGGCTTCGGTCTCTTCCTTTGCACCTGCATTTGAAAATGCAATAAAACCTCATGCCTTGCCAGGGTTTTTCTTTCTTCCTTTTATTTTTTTTCTCTTTCTTACATTTGTATTTTTTTCTTTTTGAAACGTCTCTTACATTTGTATTAGTATTGGAGAAAATTGTTCCCTCTCCGGTGCCCCGACTTCAACATAGTTCAAATGATTGAAATATGTAACATTGTTTTGAGGTTGAGGTCGGAATTCCTCACTCCACGATTATATATCATTTAAATGAAATAATCTAATTAGAAAGAATGATAAATGACTCATCTAATAGTTTCTTAAGGAAATTGTGCTGAATGATTCTAGTCTGAGGCTAYCAATGAGATACGATCACATATTGAAAAAATTTTTATTTTAACATTTTGATTGTGTTATCACGTGTGAAATTACATTTTGCCATATCTTTTCTTTTTTGTTTTCTATGAGTTAATTTTTTTATCCATCTTATAATTTTTAAATTTTTCTTCTCCAAATTTCCTAGCTACTTTTCCTCGGTGAATTTTATTTCATTTTTATTTATTTGCTATTTATTTTTTTTTATTGAGTTTCCAACTTGAATATCTCAAATTTCTCCAAGTAATAACATCATTTATGCGCTTTTAATTTTATTTCATTATTATCTGTTCACTTTAATTTATTTTTTTTCTTTGATCTTAAAATAAAAATCTTAAGTTAAATTTTTTCCCAACTTGAAATATCCAATTTTTGCTTCTCTTTCACATTTTGTTAATTATTATTATTTTTTTCTCATATCTCCATCTCTATATCGACCCGTATCTCTATCTCCTACCTCGAGTTGGAAAAAATATTGAAAGAGAAAAATAAGATATAGACATAAGTAGATGTAGGGATACAAGTATAGATGTAGATAGCGGTAGAGATAAATATAAAGATAAAGATAGAATTAAAAGATAAATAAACAAACAGAGTTGAAAATTTTGAAATGATAAATAAGGAATCATATTTGGGAAAAAATTGAAAGAGAAAAATAAGAAATCAAGACAAAAAATTGAAAGTATGTTGCAATATAAACTATTGCTATCACTACCGTTACCATTATTATCGCTATATCTACCATTATCGTTATCACTATGAGATGAAATTGGACGTATTTTGCCAATATAAATTATCGCTATATATAGCTATCTTTATCGTTATTCTCTATTCCTATAACTAAAAGAAATAAGTGAGGGGCATAGTAAGTAATTTGTCACGATAGGATGATGTCACCACGGTTAAAATAACAAGTTTTATAGAATCGGGTCATATCTCATTGACGCCATCAAATTTATATCATCCTTGCGATTATCCCCAGTTTCTTCATACCTAGTAGACAAAGAGAGATTGGTAGTTCATGAGTTGGTGCAAATACTGCATAATTGACCTTAATCTGAAATGAAAAAAGCAATAATAATAATAATAATAAATAATAAGAGAGAACTAATAGTAGAGAATAAAAAAAAAGAGCATTATTGTGACTCCGAGAGATATTTCATTGTATCACATATCGAGAATTTCACTTCCTAGTTTTGCACCCGCATTGCTACTTCGCCTTTATGAACATCCACGAGTGCTCTTCCAGTTACTAGGAATCGTCTCTCGAAGATGATAGGAACTTCTTTATCTGCATCATAATCTAAAATAATAATAAATAAAAAAACAGGGTGCTAAAGGCGTGAGGGGCAAATAAATAGGGAAGATCCCCCACGATTTTTTCCTTGTTTTAAAAATTTTCTCCAAAAAACCAAATTTAATTCCCAAATCTTTTCTTTGTATCACTTCCTCAATTTAATTTTTTTAGCTGTTTCTCCTTAATGATTTTCTGCGCGTCCGCCATGTACACCGCCAGAGCCTTAAACGCTCACCTGCCTGCTTCCTTCTTCTCCATGCGTTCGTCATCGGTCATATCAAATCTCAGCCTCTTTATTTCTTTGTGATTTGCTCAGCCTTTTGAATTTCTTTCCCCTAAATGAAAAGTAAACTCAAATTAAAACAAAGATAAGTAATGCATTCAGAATCAAATAAACTTATTGAAGTAAACAAAAGAAGTAAATGCTGGAGCAATTAAAGAAATAAAACAATTTTGTCCTGCTCCATTTATTCTTATTTACCGAGGTTCATTCTACGACAAATTGTAGAGCTCAAGCATCTCTCACCAAAGTTCTCTCTCCAATAATGCTTCAATCTCTAACCGTTCACTGTAAACTCCCTTCCAGAATCAGCTTCTTGTACTCTAACTACCCCAAGAGGAAAAACATGTGAAACTAAGAATGGACCAGACCAGCATGGTTTTAATTTCCGTGGGAACAACTTTAATCTAAAGTTGTACAAGAGCACTTATTGTCCTTTCTCAAAGCTTCTTGGTTGGATTCATGCGTCATGCAATTTTTTTTGTTTTTTCCTTATATATCTTGGCATTTTCATATGCATCCCTTCGAAACTTCTCAAGTTATAGCATTTGTAAGCGGTGCAGACCGCCTGCTGCAGCATAGTTGAGGTTTAGCTTTTTCACTGCCCAAAACGCGTTATGCTCCAACTCTAATGGTAAATGATAAGGTTTTCCAAAAACCAGTTTGTACGGTGATGTACCCAAAGGAGTGTTGAATGCTATGCAGTATGCTCACAAAGTATCATCTAGCTTAATGGCCCAATCTCGTCGGTTGTTACTGACCACCTTTTCCAAAATGCTCTTTATTTCTCTATTCGAGATCTCAGCCTGACCATTGGAGTGAGGATGGTACGTCGTGGAGATCTTGTGCCTTATATTGTATTTTTGCCAACAATGTTGCTACAACCTTATTGATGAACTACGAGCCCTCGTTGCTAATCACTGCTTGGGGTGTACCAAACCTTGTAAAGATGTTCTTGTGGAGAAATTTGGTCACCATTCTTGCATCACTAGTGGGACAAGTGATAACTTTAACCCACTTGGATACATAATCAACCACCAGCAGTATGAACTGATTTCCATTTTAGGGAGGGAAAGTCCAATAAAATTCATGCCCCACACATCGAAGAGCTCCACCTCTAGGATGTAAGTGAGTGGCATCTCAGATCGTTGGGAAATGTTGCCCACCCTCTGACATTCGTACATTTCTAGACCAAATCGTAGGCATTCTTAAAGATTGTTGGCCAGACATACCCACCCTGGAAAACCTATGATGTTGTTCGCTATCCTCCAAAATGCCCACCATAAGGTGTAGAATGACATTTTGCTAGCATCGAACGTGCTTCAGCATTGCCGCGCGTCTTCTGATCATTTTGTCCTGACAGATCCTATACAGAAATGGATCATCCCATAAGTAAAATTTGCTCTCGTATAGGAAGTGCTTCAATTGCTGCTTGTTCAGCACTGTATTCTTAAACACTATTGCTTAAAATAAAATGACAAAGTCCCCGACAACGGCGCAAAAAATTTGTTGCATGCTCACAACCAAGGTGAATACTAGTGCAAGTGTACACTATATTCGTCAGTTGTAGTTCGAACGAGGTTGAATCCATAGGGACTTAGTGTAATGTTCTAAGACTCTGTTCAAGAATACCGAATGTTGCAAAAAAAAAGAGTAAAATAATGACGATTGTGCTAAAAATTGTAAACACTTTAACATATACAAATACAGTAAACGATTCCAAGAAACAAACACAACCTATGAATGTTGGGGCAAGAAAAGTTTTAGCACAGATAACATAATAAGGGTTAACAGATATGGGTTAAGACGGGGGAGACTCCTTAGCTTTCACTCACTCTCAGCCTATACTCTAGCACAAAATCAATGTTGTTGCTCAACTCAACCTGGTTCCCTTCCGAGACACCCAAATATGAATACCCATAACTCCCGTTGCTAGATACCCAAGAAATAAAAACATGTTCTAAGCATGGTTAGGGGACCATATTCCTAAGTATCTACGAACCTACTAAAAAAAGTAGCTAAAACACAAATAGAGCAATTCATTCTAACCATATATCCTTTTGAATCATACAAAAGCTAACAAACTAAATAAAGGGACCAATAATGTTCAGTAAGATGAAAGAATACACACATCTTTATTTAACAGCAAACAAAATAAGCTAGAGTATTACTTGTTATGAGTTACAGCATTGAAATCTCCCCCGAAATGGGAATTAGTTCATGGGGGAGGTGAAAACGAAATGTGTAAGTAAAAGAAGCAACCTATTTTGAAGAAGATGACAAAAATGCAGACTGAAAAGGTGCTAGCAACACGAAACCAGTAGCTCCCTCCTTCGGTCGTCAGCTTCTTCCAAAATATGGGGTGATTCTCTTCCTTGTCTTGAGCTACACGCAAGGAATGTTCTCTTTTAGGATCTGTGTGTGTCGACTTGGTCCTCGCTTACCCTTTTATTGTGGGCCCTAATTTTAGGGCACCCAACTGGTATTGTACGGGCATGGTAAAAATTCCCATGTGGAACAATTACTGTATTGTGAACTCATGCTACTGCATCTGACTGCGCTCCAGCTGTTCATGATTTGACATAAAAATGCTTTTCAACTTCTCCTCTTGATCTTATGCTCTTCTCTCGAGTTAATCCTTTAGTCTTTCATTCTGCATAAAAGAGCCAATAAAAGAAAAATATGTATAGAACATCAAATACAAGGGATTGTAGCTCATTCTTCAAATTGTACACAATTTCTTACTTTCATGAGCTAAATCAGACACACAAGCATTAAATTACCCAAATAATTGCCATAATAACTCTCTTTTGGAGAGTTATCACAAACCATAGAACCACATCAAACTACAAGTCAGAAAACTTCATCAAATTATAAGTCAAGGACTTCATCAAGCTACAAGTTGAAGACTTCATCAGGCTAGAAGTCGAAAAACTTCGTCAAGCTAGAAGCTGAAGACTTCATCAAGCTAAAAGCTTATCAAAGAATACAAGTTGAAGAACTTCATCAAACTGCAAACAAAAGAACTACTCAAGAACTTTGCAAAGCTACAAGCCGGAGACTTCATCAAACTATAGGCCGAAAACCTCTGTTGAATGATAAAATTTGGTCAATAATTAAATGCCACGTCA